GAAACAGGACTACACTGGAAAATATAATATAATAAACATTCATGATTAAATGCTTATCCTGGAGCAAATGTCATGTGACTCTGCTGAACCATATTTAGTGCTTTTAGTAGCATGAGGTGAGGGAGGAGCAGTGGACGCTCTCACCGCGGGGAGTTCACCTCTCGCTGCTTCATTGCGCCGCTTATATGCATTAGGTTTTGTTGCATTGATGAAATTATAGAAACAGGATAAAGGAATCTTTCTATGGTGGACGTGTTTCTGTTTGGAGGAACAAGCAGAAACTGACTTCCATCAGAGCAGAGTCTCTAACCCTCCGCCACCAGCACTCCTTGGTCTTATTTTTTATTTTGAGGATTTGGGGGAAAATGGAAGAAAGTTCCATCCCTCCAAATGACTCTTTTTATTATTTCAAAGCAAACATGCAGCCAATCCTTCCTCATTGGTAATGAAAGCAAATGATTCGCTCCATTCTTCTTTGAATACTCTGTTCTCATCAGCTATCTTCCTTTTTTACATGGAGACCCCCCCATGGCTTTGTTTACAGCAGCCACCTGCCTGGCACCGCGCCGCGCTGAAACCTGCTGCTAAAATTCATTCTTTAAATTTAATTATTATACACATTTTACAGCATTGGAAACATAATTAATGTTTGTTTGACCTCCTGAACACCATATTAAAACAAAAAAATACTTTTTGTATTTTCATACATTTTTGAAAAAGCTTCAGGGAGCCTGCACTGGAAAAACAATCTAGAAATAAGTTAACATTTCCTAAATTAAGTGTATTTACCCTTAATTTGAGTAGGTAAGTTAGATAGTTTGCCAATAGGAAAAGAATTGTTACTCTAAAAATAAGATCATTAAATAATATACAATTTAAATAAGAAAACACAATTGCATTGTCTAATTTTAAGTGTAAATTGCCACGTTTCATTGGCAAAATGTCTCTTTTATCTCCTCAATCCAAGAACAAATGCACTTATTTTAAGAAAAAATGACTGATCTAGATTTGGATTTTTTCCAGTGTGGAGGGGGCGCTAAAGAGCCGCGGGTTGCTGACCCCTGCACTACATTCAAACATAAAAACGCTACTATAGTGCAGAGTTTAAATGAAAATCTCTTTTCCTTAAAGGAGCTGCAGCTGAGAATATTTGATCAGAAACAAACCGTTTTTAGAAGCTTTCTGCCTCGGACCCTCGAATGGCCCAAATTATTAGTCAGGTGTAAAAACTAAATGGATGAACAGCAGCAATAACCGATTGATTGGATTTGTGCATTTTGAAGGGAGGGAGGGATTTTGTTTAGATTTTTATTCATGCTAACATTAAGGTGTGATTAAATGGTGTTGATCACTGATTAGTCCCCAGAGAGGCTCTGCTGCGGTGAAGACGATTCCAGGGAGAGTAGAACGGTTTGACCAGCAGGGAAAGTCTGAGGTTAGTTGAAGGACAATAGAGAAGCTCTGAGAGTAAAGCTCTGCAGCGCAGCCTGCAACCATGATTATTAAGGTATTTTTTGTTACATCTCTTTGGTTTCTGGAGGTTTTTGCTTAAATTAACAGAATTTTCTTTTCTGTTTTATTTTTTTATTTTTATTGGGGTTTTTTTTGGCAGGTTATGGAGTTTTACTGCCAATCGTTTGCTTCGTACAAAGATATAAAATCGCGTTTTTCTCCTAATTTACTGTATAAACTTGATTCCCTTAAACTTATCTTCCCTTCTCCTAGGATATATATTTTTTTTCTTATCTTCAGATTAGGGCTGCAACCATTATGGATTCATCTGTTGATTATTTTTTCCAATTAATAATTTTATAATCAGATAGCAACAGGTTTCTTTTTTTTTTTTACCAAAAACAAATGTTTTGCAAAAGATTTTTTCCACTTGAGGAGTTCTGGATAGAGAATATTGACAGACAAAAACTTCTTTTTTTTTTTTTACCAAAAACAAATGTTTTGCAAAAGATTTTTTCCACTTGAGGAGTTCTGGATAGAGAATATTGACAGACAAAAACTTCTTTTTTTTTTTTTACCAAAAACAAATGTTTTGCAAAAGATTTTTTCCACTTGAGGAGTT